TCGGACAATCACACAAAAAGCTAGAATGATTGAAGCTGTAATTAGCCTTCCGTGACGGCAGTGGTCCTTTTTCTCTCCCTCAGGATGCCTTCCCTCTGCGCCTGGGAGCAATTCATCTAGTCAATCAGCCCTGGTACGTGGAGGCGGCGCTGGGGCTCGCCAGGCCGTTCCTCAAGGAGAAACTTCGATCTAGAGTAAGTGGAAGGGAGGTCGATGCGCAGGTTCTTGCGTTTTGAGTTGTGGGAAAGCGCAGTGAAGCTCCACGTGATGCGAACTGCAACTGTCGTTTAATTTTAAGGAAATGATATATCGCAGGGGTTAGATATGATTGATGGTTGTCGGTCTCTGCTCTTGATGGTAATTGTAACGGGGCTGTTTAAGCGAATATTAATAGAATGAATTGTTGAATGAATGAAAGATTGTAAATGCCATTGATTTCCATCACAGATTCACGTCCATGGGAACAACCTCGCGACGCTGCACGCTCAGGTTCCTCCTAGACTCCTTCCGGCAGAGCTCGGTGGCGAAGGCGCGGAATACCACCCCCACACATGGGCCTCCACCATGTTGAAGCGCACGCCGAGCCAGCAGGAGCAGCAAGAAGCACCCCAGCCGGAACAAGAGCAAGAACAGCATCCGCAGGAACATCAGGCGAAGAACCAGCATCAGGGACAAGCCAACCCTTCCGCGCGCAGCCCAGAGAGCAACGGCTTCAACGGTTTTAACGGTTCCGCAAAGAAAACGCAGGAATCGCCGCGTTCTTTCGCGAAGGAAAGCCTCAGCCTGAGCACCTCGTGTGACCTGTCCTCGGAGAACACCTCGGCCTCCCCGCCCTCGCCCGACACGCCCTTAGTCAACAAGCCCGAGACTAATAGCACTATCGCTGCTAGCTTCACGGCCATGATCTTCGGGAAGAGCGACTCGGATAGCAAATCAAATGGGAACATCAGCGACGGGGAAGAGGTGGCGCTGAAGGCCCATTAGGCGTCCTCGCTCCTGGGCCGGTTCTTCGTGCGTTCATCTGCTGGAAACGTGAACTGGGGGTTTTCATCAAGGCAAAAAGTGTAGGCTGCTCTGTGTCTGTGTTTCAGTGTCCTGTTAGATTCTTGTGCTTTTTGAATTTTGAGTTTCGTTGTATTTTGAGCATGGTATTTTTTTCTTTATAATCTGTCTTTTAATTCCATAAAGCAAAGAAGAAGAGGATCCTAATCAAAATCTGTGTTGAAACAAGCAAATCAAAAGACAATGAAAATGTTAATAGGTTCCGGCAGGCCATGATTAAACAGCCTCGTTTTTGTTTTCAAAATGATTAAACCTTGATGTTTGATTTCCGTATTATCTCTATAATCAAGACAATATAGTATTTCAGTATTGATATGTTTTTGTTTATTTCAAAATATATTTTTCAAAGTAACCATATATGTATGTATTGTATATACTGGATTTGGCGGCCACATTTTTCCATGACAGTTTTTATCAGTATTTTCATTGTTTTTATTATCCATTATTATTGTTATACTTATCTGTTTATCTGTTCATTCATTATTTGTTATTTATTTAGGTGTGCGATGACTATTTTTTCTTATGATCATTCAGGACCGCCTCAAAGAACAGTAACGTTGCTCACCTTGTCATGACTGATAAGTGTCATAACATCTTTACCAAAGTGTCTAGTTGCTTATTATTTTGTTGAGTCTGAGTTCTAGATTTTTTCTATGACTGATATTAACTCTATTTTTCAGATGATCGTTAATTTTGTAATTGCCTTTTTATGTATTATTCAGTTTATTTAAGACTCCCAAAATTCAGGCCAATGACTAGTCAAGTATCATATATAAAACGGAAATGTTTGTGCTTAATGATGTAATATGAGAATTTACCTTTTTTCAAAAGTATTTTATTATGTAATTCAAGTAAATGCTTCCACATGAGTTTGTATAATGTGTATAGGTGTCTGGCAATGTGTATAGATCTCTTGCATTGTGTGCTCAATGTTTCAACGCACAAATTTGATGAACATTGTCATATATATAGTGTGGGTGTTTATATATGTGTATGTAAACTCCTGCATTCACGTTATATATGCAGACATACATAAAATAATCGTGTATATGTCTATTTTGATGTAACATTGAACTCGCGTATATGATAACAGCATGGTCGTCATATACTCATTTTGGTATAACCAAGCGAGTCCGTGTTCTATATGCTATTTTCAGAAATGGATAACTTTGTCATATCTATATTTTGTAATCATATTTGGGGGGTATTATATTTATGTAGTATTTTCAGTTGTTCGTCGTACTTGAATCTCTGAAAAGGAGTGTTTTTTTTTCCTTACACGATGTGAAAACAATACTGTTTCAGTGTAAATATATTGGATGTGAAAACGGTGTATTATAAATTACTGAGCATATCCAAGGCTTTCACAGAGGCACATGATAGCTTGCATACTGTAGACGTAACTATTTTATAGGCAATATACTTTTTTATTTATTTT